AGCAATATAAAATGAAGGCTTTAAACAGAAAATCAAGTGTGAAAACAATAGAATTGATTAAGCAATTAGCAACATTATAAATACAAAATTAACTCAATAAAATAATACTATTAAATTTAATAGAAAGGGGTTAAAATTTTACAAATTATTATTATTATTATTATTACTACTACTACTACTAAATCAAATAAATTCAATAAATAAATAAAAAAACTATATAAAATCTAGTTGATCAAATCAATGCTCATTGAACTTCATCTTGGGTTACAACTTGTTCACAAAAAATAGTTGCTAAATGTTCATCCATATTTAAAAAATATTACACATTCATCACTCGTACCACGTGGACTTTGTCAATGCCATGTGGGATTTTCATTCGTCCATGTATATAATTTTTGTCCATGTGGACGGATAGAATTAATATGAGTGATGATAGGTAACATTTTCTAAAGATGAATGAGCAGTAAGTAACTTTTTAAATTTGATTGAACAAGTAGTAAGTTAAAATAAAGTCCAATGACCATTCATTTAATTAACCGTGGGTTTATATGTCATTCTTTTGAATGGCTATGGATGCAAAACGCTGAAATTTTGACTATTTTTCAAAGGCATTTAAAAAATGGACATTCTTCGCACTTTCCTCTAATTATAAACTGATATGCAAAACACTCAATTTTTGACTATTTTCCAGAAGGCATGTGAAAATGGTCATTCTTCACACTTTCCTCCAATTGATATACTGATATATTAGCTTTCCAATCCGTCAAGGAAGGAAGGTAACAAAGCAGAAATTACATGACGACTTCTAACAAATCACACAGAGATTATCTGGTTTCTTACACTTAAATGTCAAGATCGCTGTTTTGCGGAAAACAAACTAATACGAGAAATAGTTATTTTTTTTTTTTTTTGAGAAGAATATGTGGTTAGAAAAGAAGATTTTTTTTTTAAATTAGGGATAATATTATTTTATTAAAAATGCGTAGTAAAAAAAATGAACGAGAAAAATGCATTAAAATTAGGGAAAATTACATAAAACCAAGGGTTTAGTTTGACATTTTTAAAAAATCAGATTTATAGTTTTAAAAATCAGGTTTTAAGTTTATTTTTGCAAATATCAGGTAGTATATTAAAACCCTAATTCTTAACCTAATTTATCAATTCCTCTCCACCATTCCCGTCGCCTCCCCTTCTCCCTCCTATCCTCCCCTCCCTTCCGTCTCCACCCTAATTCACAGCAGTGTCGCGACTGTCGGCGTCGCGAACACGCTACTGTGTTCACGCTGCTGTGGGTGTGTGGAATCGAACCCTCAACAGCGTGAATATATCCAATTCTTAACCTAATTCTGCTGGGTGTGTGGAATCGAACCCTCAGTAGCGACGTTGCTGGGTGTGTGGCTATGGCGGTTTGTGGTGTGATTTGGGTAGTGGTGGTGGCAGTTTGTGGTGCCACGAAGTTGCGATCTGATTTAGGATGGTTTCTACAGGTGGTAGTGGTGGTGTTGTTGAGGTGGTGTTGGAGGCGGTGCTGGTGCGGGTTGTGCAGTGATTTGGGATGGTTTTTATAGGTGGTAGTGGTAGTGTTGTTGAGGTGGTGTTGGAGGCGGAGCTGGTGCGGCTGCGGTGGTTTTGCAGTGATTTGGAATGGGATTGTGAGGGTGGTCGTGGCGGCGGTCGTGGGTGGGATGAGATGAGTTAGGGGTGGGTGGGTGTCTGTGACCTAGAAATTGTGACTGTGACTTACTGAAATATCGTTGTGACTCGTAAAAGTGATTTTTTTTTTTTTTT